CATCTGAACATAGATAAGAGTTGAGAAGAAGTTAACACCATGGATAGATGCAAAGTAATTAATATCGATCTTCAACCGAAACCGTACAACCGTAGGTAAATCAACAAAATCATATGACCTTGAAGTCGTATTCAAAATCATTAATATATATTTTTTCTTAATTATGATCAACTGAATCTACTTCTAAGCAATGTTAACGGCGTGCAAGATCATCGTAACATAATTCAATCTTTTACTTTTGACTTAATGAGATTAGTTTATATGCTAGTCAAAGTACATCCACAAACTAAAAGATAGATCAACCAAACTCTATGATCAAAAACAGAATAGATCAAAAATTATGTCACCTCCTTAAGAAATAAAATCCACCGACACTTAGGTAACGACATCTCTGAATCCGAGGGTGAATCATCTCAGGTTAGCTCGTAAATTAATATTTTCCATATTTAATCAAATTCACTAAATTATTGCAATATATGCCATTTTACACTCGCATTACAGGCAACTAAAGAGTAGATCAGTGCGCGAGTGAAATTGTATGTGCGGATATATAAAAAGCCGATTATGGAAATACCACGAGTGTTATAAATGCTTTTATTAAAAATTAAGTTTTATGCAAGTGGAAAAAAACAAATATTCTCAAATAACACTGAATCAAATTAAAAATGACGATATAGCTTGGGAACCTTCAACCAGTAACAAAACAGAACATTACTCATTCTTATTTATTGTCTAAAAGTAATCAACCAATATGTGAAACATGTAATGTGCAAGTTACCGTTAACCATTTTTTAATTGTATGTCATCATTTTGTTAATTATTTTGAAGCATTAAATGTACATAACTATATAAGTACTTTATTAGGCACTAATTTTTCAGCAAAGAATATTGTAACTTTTTAAAATATGTATAATTATGTTTTATAAAATTTAATTTACTAATTTATGCCAATGATCTTAGTTGTCGAGGCATTAACTCAATAATAATAATAATTTACTGATTCTGTAGCCGTCGCTACAGAATAACCGTTATGGTGAATGCGACTGTATTTTTTGTAAGTTTTGTGTCATGGATCTATCTTCTAATATACCGCTTTTAAAATAATATACCGCCTTAAAAGACACATTGTATATTCAATATTGTAAGTGAACGTATTCTAAAGCAAAATAATATCAACTCGTACCTGTTAATATTTTATAACATAAAATACTGACACAATTGGAATAACCAAAAGTGTCATTGTCAGTCAATTATAGCAATAATAAAATAATTTCAATTTTTTGGTTAAAAAGTTAAAATATGGAATATTGGAAAATATATGTTACAAAGAAATTATTTAAAAAACACAGTGGTTTGTTAGATTGCTTTCACGTTGCGAAGATTCGAGTTTTAAAATTAATTTAGATCCAAATAATTTAGTAAATTTGAAAAATTTTCCATTACATTCGTTAAATTCAAAAGAATTTTCAAATTTGCAAAATATATGTACTCAAATCGAAGCCTTGTCCTCGAAACCCTCGAAAATTCAATGTGAATACTTCACCACTGCCAAAGAGTAATAATAAAAATCAAAATAAATCCAAAAGAGGTAATTTTCTACAGTAAACGTGAGACCTAATAAGCCAGTAGAATAATAAATATAAGAGGCTAATAGTTAGTAGTAACTAATTTGTTGAGTTACTGCAATTGGTCTAACATTATATACACTAAACATTGGATGTGATGAATATTTCGTCCTATCAAATGACGGAAAAATTGATGTAGACATAGCTGACATTTCAAAAAAAGCAAATAATCGATACTATGTAATAAACAAAGCCATTATAGACACAAAAATAAGTAGAGTTGACTACAAAAAATATTTAGAATGCTATAGCACTATCTACTATAACATATGCTAGCGAATCATGAACGCTACAAGAAAAATCGTGAATTAACAACAGTTGATGTAAAATATCTAAGGAATATTAGCGTAAAAAGAAAATGGGAGAAATGAAAAATTAGAATGTTAGAAGAATAACTGAACACGAAAGTATAATACCCAAAATAGAAATAAAACAACTTGATGATTTAGTCGTATTGATGGATGAAATAAGTTACTGAAGGTAGTGATAGCACTTTTTAATGGACAAGTAAAACACCAAAAAGTAAGCATAGGAAAGGCAATTAAAATAAAAGAAATAGAAGCAAAAAACTATAAAAGTTAAAAAAGATATTTTATAAATAAAGAAGTGCAATAGTTGGTACATATTAATGAAATTGTAAGTATTGTCAAAATACTACTTTTTTTGAAGACTTTTTGGATTTATTTCATATTATTGTATGCCTATTTTCTAAAATTAATGTATATGTTTACTTAAGTCTGATTAGAAATAAAATATACAATTATTTCTGGGGGATATCACTTTTTATCAAATATCGTGTGGAAGTAAACCACAAATAAGAACATTCTTTTTTGATATTTCAGTTACCAAATCGGAAAAGTCATTTTAGATATATAACTTTTAAGTTAAATATACTTTCTTATTGTGCTATGTTGTTTTATTTTAAGTTAAAGTTAGAATGTTTATTTCCAACGTAATGTAACAAGATATTGTGTTAATTTAAAAAATATATTTTAAAAATGCCATTCGATCTAGAAATCCAAAGAATTAATTTATTTATTATAATGTTACTTATTTAGTCTACCCACCTATTGTTTGTAGATTTAGAGAAGGCATACAACACGGTACCTTTGAAAAAACTGTTTCAAACATTGACGAAAGTAGGTCTCAGTAGGGAGTATGTGGATGCTATCCCAAATATATACAAAAATGCAAGAAGTGTCGTTAAAGAAAAAAACTTTATATCTGAATTATTTCCAATAACAAAGGAGTTTAAACAAGGATGTTGTCTATGGCCGACCTTATAATCATCGCTAGAGGAGTGAAGGAAACAAGTGTCCGAAATGAGAATTGACATAGGCAGTGGTAAATGTCTATCAACTTTATTTTTCGCAGATGATCAGGTAGTCGTAACGAATGATAAGGAAGACATGGACTACATGTTTAGAAAACTAAAGAAAGAATATGAAAAATGGGGCCTCAATATGAATATATCAAAGACAGAATATCTTCCAATAGGAAATGATGAAGAAGATCCAGAGTTAGAAATTAAAAACCCAAAAACATGCAATTAATATAAATAGCTCGGATGTATAATATATAAAAAAGGCACTAACAAAAGAGACATCGAAAACAGAATGCAGCTGGGAAAAAAAGCGGATAACATTCTAAACTCTCTACTATAGTCTAAAGATATTAGACAAAAAACGAAATTGACAATCTATCGAACCTTGGTAGAGCCTATTATGACTTATGGGGCAGAAGTTTGGCAGATCACGAAAAAGTATAGAAAAAGAATAGAAGTAGTAGAAATGGATTTTCTAATGAGAGCGTGAGGTGTATCCAAAAAAGATCAAATCAGGAATGACGATATTAGAAAAAGGACAAATACTGTATATTCCAGCGTAGACAAAATTGAAACGAGACAACTAGTTTGGTATGGTCACGTGAAGCGAATGAAGATAGATGGCCAAAGAAAGCTTTAAATTACATACCACAACAGAGAAGTAGAAGGGGAAGGCTTTCAGTTACCTGGGAAGACAATGTACGACACATAATGAGAAATAGAGCCATCAAAGTAGACGATATATATATATATATATATATATATATATATATATATATATATATATATATATATATATATATATATATAGAATTAAAATTCCCAACGACATATTTTTTGATAGGATATCACAATTAAAAAACAAATATATTCTTTTAAGAATATAATAGATGTTAGATAAAAATGCTACTTAAAAATGGGCAGCTGAGATGAAGGGAATAAGGGTATATCACATAAACTTTATACCAGTGAATACCTGTATATTTTAGGAGCCATCAGATAATAATTATATTGTTTTATATCGAAAACAACATCCTCGAATAATCTATGTGTGTTCCTTATTGCTAATACCTCTATATATTGAAGTATCCATTTCAGATTAAAGTTGTTTTAGAAATATATCAATAAAGACTAATTAATACTGTGTTGTTTAAAAAATGTGTGTAAAGACCTCTAGTGTTGTTTAACACAAAAACACCATATTTTAAGATTTTAAAAATAAGAGAAATAAAGCGACTAGAAGAAAAAAATTTTATCGAAGGACATACTGCTGTAATTGATGAATAACTTCAAACAAAGTATAAATAAATTTTCCATATTCAAGTCGATAAACTCATCCATATACCAAATAATTCAAAAAAGGTAACTAAATTTTAGTACCATAAATATGAAACCGATTGTATGGCAACCGTTTTTATAAATATTTATTTTACATTATTACGTTTAATTGTAACGTAAAACGTGTAAAGACAAATTTAAAGACTGTGTGGAAAGAGAATAAAGAAAATATGTAGCACATGGTGGAAACGATTGAAAATCTTTGTAACAGACAGAAAAAAGCTGACAAAAGTAATCCAGTAAAATTCATTTGTTAATGTATTTATTTCTTGATTAGTTTTAAAAGATAAATAAATATTTTCTAAAATAATTGTCTTAAAAAAAATCTCAATGCGTAACTTGTAACAAAATATTATGATTTTCGTTTGTATTATTCGTTGTTGAATTAAATTTAAAAATGTGTGAAGCAACTTAAAAAAAATATATATTAAAATAATATACTTTGTAAGTAGTTACGGTTTATTAAAAAAGCTAAATTTAAAAATATTCCTCGTCTTAATGCTTAAAACCAATATTTATTATAATATGAACAACAAATTGGAATATGTACGTAATATATACACAATCAAAATTATTGAATAACGTTTTCACATTTACCAAACTAATATGAAATATGTTTACCTTATTGACAAAATCCTGCTGATAAATGTAGAGATATAAATTAATATATTGATGTGAGCAAAGGCACTAATTGAAGATTAACCACAGGGAGGTTAGAGAGAGACAAACTCTGGGGTGAGTTGAACGCAAGGGGGCGGCGGGGGAGGGGGTAATTCCGTCACTACGGGGGTAACAGCTACACCAGCAGATGCATCAGGAAGAGACAGTGTGGAACTTCCGCCAGCAGTCACCCTGGGACCCATGTTGTCGTACTGTGGAATGGCGTACGGCCGTCGCGGCAACGTTGCCATGCCATGGTAGACTGGTTTAGGCCTGTGGGGTAAGTCCAGTAGATCAGGACACCTAGAAACATCAACTGAAGGATCTCGACTTACTGAAACTGAGATAAAGATGTTCCCGTATGCCCCCGCTGGCAGCGTATTAGTTGAAAACTCTGGCGGAGGAGGATATACTGCTAGCGGAGGTAAATGAGGCTCCCTCTCTATTGTAATGTGTACCGGAGGTTCCATTATATCTAGTTCCGGTCCTAATGCTTCGCAACTACCGGTTCCTCTATCAGTCGTGGTAGCAATACTAACGTCCAGTAGCTTCTTTTCTTGGTCTGTGAAGCTGACACTGGCTTTAATGTTCCTTCTTTGGCCTCTGTTCCTTACACAACAAACCGCTATCACTGTTATCACACCAGAAAATCCCACTGCAATGCTCACTATCACTATACTCCACCACACCATTTTTGTGTCTGATTTACTAAGTGTAGTAGCAGTGACAACTTCCGGAAGCACTAAACTGACGTTAACGGAAGTTGAGTCTAGAATATTTTTGGCAACACACGTATACCGACCGACGTCGGCATCACTAACGTTATAAATGCTGATATTGGCCCACTTATCTAACAGTCCTTCTTCTGCTTCTACAACTAACCACGTATGATTAATGGGGTGACCTTCATATAGCCACAAAACTTGAGGTTCGGGATCTCCTCGAACATGACATCCAAAAGTTACATTTCCTCCTGCTTCTGCTTGCACCTGTTGTTGTGGATATGCAAACACTTGGGGTACACATGCGAATTCTTCAGATGGAATTTCGTCCCATAGTTTACCACCCAATAATTTCGGTTCTGAGCAAATTAGAGGAACGGAATGCAGTTTACTAGCTAGAAACCAGTCTCTAAATCCGCGCAAATCACAATCACATCGCCACGGATTTCCATCTAAAGCTAAAGTCTTTAACTGAGCAAAATTCATGAAGGTTGTTTCTGACAGATTCTGAAGAAGATTATATTTTAAATTAAGAGTCTCTAAAGCAGTTAAATGAATAAATGTTTCTCTGTTTATAACTTTTAAATGGCAATTTTCCAACTCCAAAGTTCTAAGATGTGGTAACGTAGGGAACTGAGCTCGAACGAGTTCTTTAAGAGGATTACCGTTGAGGTAAAGTATCCGCAGTCTCTCGTTGCCGTGAAATGTTTCCGGGTGCAGGGAATATATTTCGTTATCAGATAAATCGATTTCCACTAAAATGATCAGATCTACGAATGCGTCACGGTGTATTTCCGTTAACCCGGCACGTGAAAGATACACTCGCTGTAGATTTAATAGGCCTACGGATCTGAACGCGGCTTTGGGCAGTTTTGACAAAAAATTACCCGAGAGATCGAGCACTTGCATGCCTTCGTCCAAAGTGCCAGGTATACCGGTAAAGCCCGCTTTTTTGCATAACGCCGTCTTTTTGCCGTTACTCCAAGTGCACCGACACGGCGACGGACAATCCGTCCAGTCCGGAGCCGCTAGGGCTAGCGCCACAGTAAACACTAACAAACAAAAACTGGCCATTCCTCATCATCTTGCGAATAAACCTTTATCGAAGCACATCATTTTTAAATAAAGTTCCAGTCACTAACACGCGAGAAACTTTGCAAACTTTTCGTTTACTTGTCTGAAATAAATAAATCGTAAAAATGCATCGGGTGAGATAGGTCAATGCGCCTCGGTTTATTTTCGTTTTCCGTGATCGGTGAGTTAGAGAAAGAACTCTCAACACGAACCGCGTAAATGTGAGATAACTTCGGGCAGCATGCAATCGCGTCTCTTCTGTTATTCAGTTCACCGCACTATGATGTTAGTCCGCAGCTTTGTGGGTCGAGGCGCCTTCTAGTTGTTGCGTCGGCGTCGATGTATATTCGTCTGGATGCGCCGCCCAGCCCTATGCAGCAAAGAACCTGCTGCTTCTATCGCCTCTTGCCGATTAATGTTCTGATTTTCACCGGATTTATAACTGATTCGATATTATTTTTCATGATTTGTGGGATCGCTCGATATTTTGTGGTCGAAAACTTCATTTACCGGAACGATGGGATGAATGAAACGCCCTTAAGTCTTATAACCCGCTTTATTATTATTTCACTGACAGTGTCATAAACCGACAGTTAAAAATTTAGTTTCTAATCGAAAAGAAATACTTTATACCAGATTTTGAGTGTTCAAATTAATTTTTTTGATAAAATTCTTAAGTTTTTATCTACTAATGAGTTCCGGAATCTTAATATACTAATAAAAATTGATATCCGATAAACAGTGGACAGCAATCTTAGACGCTAATTTACTTGTTAGTTTTCTTTAAGATCGGGTAACCCAAAAGGTATAAAAGGATGGAGTTGGATAACTTAATATATTATATTCAGTAATTCATTATACTGTTGAATTTGCAAATCCTAAGCCAGAAATATAATTTTTAAATTTTCAGATTGGTTTTGTTATCTGTTACCTCTAATATAATATGTTATATACATATATATATATATATATATATATATATATATATATATATATATACATATATATATTACATATATATATATATATATATATATATATATATATATATATATATATATATATATATATATATATATATATGCGTTTGTGTGTGTCGTTAAAAATTATGTCGTTTTTGTTAACCTTAATACGAATAACGTTTCAGAGGAAATTTTAACAGATATAAGATCAATATTTGTTTAAATAGAAGGCTGTGATTGTTAGAGTTAATAGTGCATGTTGTTTAATTCCTTGGTGTCTAAATTATAAAGGCATGAAAAAAATTTAAATTTGGGCACGTGCAGTCCAAAATTTTTCAATTCTAGTAGGACAGAAGAAGTAAACTTGTCTTACGATAAACCTGTCTCTATTTTTGAACCAAAGAGAAAGAAAGGCTAAATATAGATATATACTTTATGTTAGCGATGTGTAATAGTCAGGACATGGAGAGGTATCAATAAATAACCACAATATGCGTTACGCTGGAGACAACTCATCGCGTTCATCATAAGCAACACAATTAGAAAATCAGTGCTAGCTGTGGTTCAAATCTCAGAAAGAATAATAATGCTAAAAATTTAAGCGCGGAACTGCAATAATAATATGATTCAAGTCTACGCTTCCATATATAAGACCGAAGATGAGGTCGAAAAATTTAATTCAGAATTTCACAATACACTAAAGTTGACGAAGTCTAGAGATATTACGTACATTTTAAGAGACTTTAATGAAAAAATTGGAGCTGTTATAGTTGAAAATATAATTGGACAGTTCGGATTTAGACCTAGAAATGTGAACGGGGAGAAATACTTGTAGAATTATGCCAAAAAAAGAATATGGCAATTGCCACTACCTAGTTTCAGCTTAATAAGGTAAGACTATATACATGGACGTCTTCTTCGCCTACGGAAAACCACATTGTCAGAAATCGAAAGCATAAGTATGAATGTTGTTGGGATGGGAATTATTATAGACAATAAAAATATATGCTAATTACAAAAAGACCACAAAATATACACTACATATTGAGAATTAATGGAACGTGATAAAACAAGTAGAAAAATATCAGTGCTTGGGAACTTTGATCAATGAAAACAGGGATCATACTGCAGAAATAAACAGGCGAATAGAGACTGCCATATCAGCATTTATACAAATGAAACCACTCTTAACGTGTAGAAATTTTAATTTGGAATTAGACCAAGTACCATTTGATATTATATATTTTTAATATTATTATATGGAACTGCGACACGCATAAAAAAATGCAATTTAAAAAGAATTGGGAGATTTGAGCTCTGGTTATACTGCAGAGTATTAAAAATATTATGGCCTGCTAGAATTACAAATAAAGAAGTACTGGAGATGGTTGGTAAATAAACAGAACTTATTACCAATGTACAAACCAGAACACCGAAATACCTAGGCCACGTGATGGGGGGACCAAAATATGAAATTTTAAGATAATACAGGGAAAGATTTAAGAAAGAAGATCTATTGGAAGACGGCATTCTGGATTGAAAAATCTACGAGATTGGTATTTTTGCAGATTGCTTGATCTGTTTGAAACAGTACGTTCAAAAATAAAAACAGACATTATGATTGCCAAACTAAGTAGGGAGACAGCACTCTAAGATGATTTTTGAACCTGAAGGATGTCAAATCCACGCGGCCGTTATGAAATAACTTGATCCATGTATGACGACTCAGGTTTCATGCAACCAATTAGTTTGTTTCTAAATTTAATATTCACACAGTTAAAAAACTATGATTCTATAGCGAAATAGTTGAATCAAAATATAGAAATGAGCCAGAGGCTTCATGGTACTAGTTTTAACATGTTCTAAGCTTACCGCTTATCAGATCACTGCTGTTAGCATGGTTGCTTAAAATATACATGCCAATGATAATGACCTTAGGAGAATCAAAAAAAGTAAATAATAGCTGATTCTTTTATATTACAATTACTTGACATGGGCATGACTCCAGTTACATTAGAAAACAGGAAACGCGCTTTAAGTCAAAAGTCGACCAGCTGTTCAGCTGTTTAGGTGGATACAAAAATGAAAGAAATCTAATCTTAATTTCAACTGTTAAAAATGTAAGATATAATAAATCAGACTGGTAAGTGAACTTCGCTACTATTGCAAATCTTGTTCTTGACAGACTTCACATATTTACATGTTTTTCCTGCTGTGAAAATCGTGGAATAGTGATGACCAATAAATCATTATTCCAAATTATAGGCTTTAGAAATACTCGTAAAATGACAATACTGAATAAACAAAATAGTATATTATCACTGTAAAAGTCTTTTATGGAAGCCAAAAATTTCGATAAATTTAATTACTGTGAAATAGTTACTAAAAAACGGTAACAAAGTTTGCTGTTAAAAAATTCGTTACACAAAAAAAAAATAAAGAACTTATTATTACGGCGAATCTTTTTGGTCTATAAACTGAATATATACAATAAGCCAATATAGCAATATGTATCTTTTGTTTAAAAAAAAACATAGCATATAATGTAAATATTGTAGATTTTTGTATATATGAGTATAAGTGTAGATGAGTATAAGTGGGATAAAATAGATACAAAAAATGTAAAGAGCTAGACTTGTTCCTGGTTTACAACCGTTTGATCCGGATGATCTTGCTGCTGAAAGTTAAAAATAAATTTATGAATCAAAATTGCTAAATTAAAGTGATTTAGCAAAGATGCTGGTATTGAAACATATAGTGAACACTTTTATAAGCATATAGTCGATATCACTCTCGTCGTTAGCTAGAATGGTTTGGTCGTCAACCAAATGTATCGTGTATAGTGGTGTGTCGCTATTTAAGTAACATGTATTTTGTACCTGTTACTTATTTTGGAGGAACGTACCTGTTACTGGAAACCAAAAATACCTGTTACTGGTACTTGGAACTTGGAAATATTTTATCGTAGAGTTACTAGATATTTGTTTCACTAGAGTATTTCAATAATATATAATATGGACACTTTAGCTGTGGTACTGATTACTAATAAAACAATATACAATATTCAATAGAGGCGAAACTCCGAAATTTGCGACTAAGGATCGAAAACATTGCAACGGGACTTCCCCTAGATGTGATAAGTTAGTTTAATATATTTTTTGTATTGTCTGGTCTAGTCATTTCAGTCATTTGTAACACTGTGTGGTATGACACTTAAAAATTACTTAAAACTTAAAAATCAGTGGAGAGATATTGAACGTTATAGAAAGAGAATAAAACGTTTTATAATCTTAGAAGAGGCTATTAAACATGGCTATTAAACAAGCTTTAGTAAATAATGATATTACTCCTCTAACACCTGTGGAATGGAATATCTGTAAAGAACTCTGTGATATGCTTGATCCATGTGCAGAGGTGATGAGAGAAATGAGCAGTGAGCAGTACGTAAATGCTAACAAAATCATACCCATCCTGGATGGATTACGCAGGTCATTATTAAAATTATCAAATATAGTAAAAAAATACAGTTAAACATGTTGCTAAGAATCTTTTCGATTAAATTTAAAGTAGGTTTTCAAATTTAGAAAAGAATAAATCTTTTGCATTATGCACTTTTCTCGATCCACATTATAAGTATCACATGTATACCGAAGACAATACTGCTGAAATCACTAAAAAGCATGCTATTGCTCTTGTAACTGCTATTATTAATAAAAACAACTGAACAAATTCCCTTCGTTGGCTCAGTGGAGATGTTCGTTCAGTTGTAATGGAAACACCAAATAATAGTAGCAGAGTTTATTGATGAGACGTACACAATGGGTGTTGACCCGGGATTACTTTGAGTAGAGACTGTTGCAGTTGATCGCTGAAGACTATCAAGTTTGTTGAGTGAATATTGATTGAATGCTTCTCTAGGCAAGAGATATTAGTTTTATACAAGTTTTAATTGGATCAATATATTCGCGGGCCTCGCGTGATATGTGTGTCTAATTTATGTAAATTGTTTAACTTTGTCAGCACTTTTGACTGATGTCCAAATTATATTGTTGATACCTGACCAAATCCGTATGTAACCTAATTAACTACGTGTGTGTATTTAATAACAAATAAATTCATTCGGTCTACTGGGTGATAAAATTGTACTGTCCAATTTCGGATATGAATTCTGAAGATTTGATATTGGACAACAACAAAGATATATTAGAAGAAACCCAAGGTAAAGAGCATAAACCGTTATTACAACCACAAAAAAAATTTCAATTGGGGATGAATATCAGGATAAAATGAGCAAAGTGAAACCAAGAGGAACCTCAACATCTTTTGCAATTCAAGAAGTTCAAAGGTACATGGATGAGACTCCTATTGGAAGAAATGACAATCCACTTGAGTGGTGGAAAAATCACCAACACCTTTATCCGAATCTAGCTCACTTGGTGAAAATTAAGTGCAATATTAAGGCAACCTCTGTACCATGTGAACGATTATTTTTTAAGGCAGAAAATATATAATCGGAACGAAGAACATGTTTAACAACTAAAAAATTTAAGGAGTTGATGTTTTTAAATATGAATATGTAACAGATTGTCTTGATTCATTTTTTATTTAAACTATTTTTTGTTTTGTTTTTTAATGTTGTTTTCTTTGTTACTAAATAAAGAATATATTACAAACACTTATTGTATTAAAACTATAATTATATTTTGTTATAATTATAGGTATATTTATTAAATATTATTATTATTTAAATATGATAACGATAACGGGTAGCTACCCTTAACAACAATACTAAGACATATTGCAACTGTTACAGATAATTTCTCCTTCTGTTAAGGTAACAGGTATATTGTAACTAGTATTTCTACTAGGTATTAAAAAATACTTGTAACAGGTATAACTGTTACTGCTAAATACTCGTTTAGCCCACTGATAATCGTGTACAATCTCTCGTCTATGATTGATATGCCCATATTGCAGCATTTTCTTCTTCACACTGAGAGCGCCTCATTTAGATATATTGTGAAGAGTGTAGGTGCTACGCAGCAGCCTTCTTTTAGACCCTTAGTAATAGAAATTTTTCTATAGTAAATTAATTTCCAAAAAAAAATTTAATAAAATTAAACAAAATTAAATGTAATGATAATTAAAATGAAGGTATTAAACTTAAATACAAGATAATATTGAAACTGTAAATGATAAATAACTTATGATAGATAAAATATTTTAAAAATTGCTGAAATTATTAAGCAAAATTAAAAAAAAATTTGGAATTTTTAAATTTTAAAGAATTTGAACGTCTGGTGTTACTATAAAAAAAATATTAACACATCAGTTATAAGAAGACGTAAAATTTCATGAAAGAACTTCAGTCAAATCCAAATCTAGTCATTCTTCCCGAAGATAAAGGCAATGTCACCGACATCCTAAACATTTAACCTTGCATCAATAAACTCTAAAATATCGTTAATACTTCAGACTATCTACAGAACAATTTCTATAATCCAGTAAGCTATCTGGAGAAATTAACAAAATCTATTATCAATAAAACCTCTCTTTTTCAGATAAAAAAAATCTCTAATTCCTCCTGAAAAGTCTTCCAGAACACGTCGAATATATAGCCTAACCAAAATTCACAAATCGAATGTTCCTCGACGTCCCATTGTCAGTGCATAAAACTGCCCTACACAACTCTCGCCGAAAATGGTTCATCCTTCGTCAAAAATCCATTTCATTTCATCGAACTTCTTAAACAATACCTTATCTCACGTTCAGACATTCTCGTAAGTTTCGATATCGTTTCACTCTTTATAAACATTCCTATAGACGAAACTTTCATCTATAAACATTCTGAAACCTAAATACAAAATCTAGCTAGATCACTTATCTCTTATTATACATTGTATATCTAACACTTATTTCATCTTCCAAAATCAAGTCTACAGACAAATAAATTTTGTTTCAATGTAATTGCCAATATCTTTATAGAAGACTTCGAGGTCAGAGCACTATCCACATCAAAACTCAAACCCACATGTTGGCTACGATATATTGACGATGGATTCATCATTTGGCCCCATAGCAGGGACGCTTTGGTGTATTTTCAAACCCATTTGAATGGTATGCATCCTAGTATCTAGTTCATGAAGGAAATGGAAACTGATTCATCCCTACCGTTTCTCAAAGTTATCATAAGGAAAAATTAATCTCACAGTTTTCATCACTCTGTCTATCGAAAATCCACCCATAACAATTGTTACTTGCATGCCAACCCTCATTATCCACCTTCACAAATTAATTCAGTCAATAATACCCTTGTCTCCAGAGCAATACGCCTTTGCGATGTTGCAGATAGACCCTCTGAGTTCTCTAGTTTTAAACAAGGCCTTATCCAAAACGGTAACGACGAAAGTTACATCAATAGGAACATCCACAGACATTAATCCCTAATCTCAATTTCAAATTTCAACGCAAAGACTCAGACCCTCATCATACGAAATCTTTTTTTCCTTACATCAAAGGTGTCACTGACAAAATCGACAAAATTATTAAATCAAGAGGAATAAAGACAATATTTATTCCCAAAAAAACTTTCATCTCTTGTCCGATCAATTAAGCATTCCACGTGAACAACACGGAGTTTATAAAAGTCCTTGTGCAGACTGCCCCCGATCCTACAGAGGTCAAACAAATCGTAGACACCAAAATAGGATATATGAACACTCCATTTCTCTGTTTGCAATTCCGATTTAATTTCAGCAAATTGATTTCTATAAACCAATACTTCGGAAAAACCAATCCGGAAGACCTTTGCGTTTAATATTAATTATATATATATATATATATATATATATATATATATATATATATATAATATATATATATATATATATATATATATATATATATATATATATATGTGTGTATATATATATATATATATATAGAGGTATATATAATATGAATATATTGGATATTGTAATCAATATTTCCCTTTAAATAAAACTCTTTAAGGTTTGTTGAGCTTTCGAGTTTATTTAACTCTTTTTCAAAACATTAAAAAACATTAAAAATTAAAATGAAAAACTATGGAAAAACTATATTAAAACAATGGAGTTGTTCTATCTTTAACAGGCTTACCCCTGTGAGGATTGTATTATAAAAATTAGCAAAATTACCTAACATTTGACATTATTAATTTGATTTTCTTTTGCTTTCTGTCAAAACTTATTACCATGGTTTCCATTTCTATAATTACCATTAATTTTTAGTATGTTTTGAAAAAGAGTTAAATAAACTCGAAAGCTCAAGAAATCTTAAAGAGTTTTATTTAAAGGCCAGTATTGACTACAATACCCAATATATTCATATTATATTAATTCTCACATAGTCACTAAAGCCCTTTCCAAGAATATATATATATATATATATATATATATTATATATATATATATATATATATATATATATATATATACCATCGAGTTAGAATCTATGGAGAAGCTATGAGCATATAACCGTATGTATTAAAAACGGCATACGTAGGAGTGGCTAACTATAGTACCAATATGGCGGCGACATCAGGGCCAGACTTAATAATAATAAAACTACTATACAAATATGAATAGTTATTCAGAAGATTTAATCATAATCTACAAAGTGCAATACATTTTTAATAAACTATGATGTATTTATCCCGCGGTAAACACTAAAAACACGATATATTATATATAAAGATAAATTAATACAGTCAAATAGTATTAATTTATTCTCTGAAGTACGGGCCATTACTTTGTTTACATATTTGTATACTAACCTGTGGAACGATATTCCTTAAGATTTTTTATTAACATTACTTCTGCTACTGCAACTACGTTGAGAACAAGAAACCATTTTTATGCACTATCACAATATATTACAGTTTCTATAAAATTATTATAAAACTGAAAATATTCGAAAAACATTAAATATAACCAAACATATATGATCTGTCAAAAGTTTCAAATAATAATACCAATATGGCCGAAGTTAGGTCGTTTTTAGTCACGTGATGCCCTCTCCATAGATTCTAACTCGCTGATATATACGTAGGAATTATCAGGTAAAGTGGTCTCTAATAAAAATCTTTGTTTTTTCTAAAAAACTTAATATTACGCTATTTATGTGATTTCTTCATCAGGAGTAGACTGTAAAACAATTTCAACATTACAAAAAGGGCGTACAAATACATTTTAAAAACACTTACAGAAATTCAAAGATTTCACAAATAAAAATTTACATTGAAGTTTGTAATAAATGTCATGATTAAATTATCTTAAGGACGATCGTCACAGCAATACGATAAAAAAAATTAAAATTACTTCAAATTGTAAAATAACAATAAAAGAAACGTTAGAAGAATGATATTTCTTTGATGAATTATTAAGGTTAGTTGTTTTTAAGGTGAATGTTATCTATTTTCAATATCTATAAATTTTGTTCAATATAATTACAATATATGTTACTTAACTGTTCAGTGTTAGTTTTATAATTTAAAGTGTTTTTAGTTTTGTTAATGTGATACATCTTAAGAAATAAGCTACTTTTGTAGTTCAATCAGCCTGTGCCAAAATGTGAACTTTGTTATAGTCTAGTCATGTTTAGGTCATAATTAACACCCTTAAGGTAGTAGCTCTTATGGGTAAATAAATTTTTGAAAAATAAAATTAATGCTTTATCGATTTGTAAGTTAGAATTGGCATAAGGAAGAAATTTTATTTACAAAGAATTTTTTTAAGAACATTTAATTTTCACGAAAAGTTCCCCATGAGACCTATCAGTTTTCAGATATTTTACTCTCCTTAATTTCATTACTCTCAAAGGCATAAGGAAAATATAGTGGACGAACTTCGTCGGAAATCCGACGGTCTAAATAGCGTCGCATAACGTCAAAACAGGACATTTACTTTAACAATACACGTACAGAATTATTTGGTATTTCGAAACTTATAACCTTACCTGATAATACTAATCGATAAGTAATAAAATTATCTCAAATTAAGGTATTTCATAAAAGAAGTAAATATAATGTTAAAGCATTATTTTGTGATAGATTATAATATAGCCAAACTCCTTACTAATTTAGAATATTTGGCAATAATTTATATGTATACCTATGTTATAATAAACATTTATGTTTATATAAATATTGTAAAAGTTTAAAAGTTAAAAAACATCCCCTGTTAAATGGAAGTATTGAAATTACAAATTATAAGTTGATATTATTTTTAAATTTCAAGTTTGCTGCTGCCATCTATTGGTATTTTATGTAACCCACGAGCAGTTCGCTCGTTTGAAAACTGTAAAGATATCTGACCGGAGAATAAAAGTAAGTTCGTAAAATTTTCACATGTTTTGTGGAGTTTATTTGAACCTTTCTGAATATTTCAAAGGAAATTTTAACATAGTTTGTTAAAAATAACAATGTATTAATTATAATTTAATAATCAATTATGGTCTTATTTATATAAGTTTA